ACAGTCTCGCTATTAGGTACTGCCGGGAACAGACATCGAGGCACCGCCACATGTCCTAATGCACAAAGTGCTCGACTCCATCTCTGCCAATCCAAGAATAGTTCCGAACTTATGAGCTCATCCCATCCAGTACCACACCTCCAGATTTCTTGGATAAGTATTTTTCCATGTATTGTGAAAAATGCAATGAGACCTAACGGATCGAACACGGACATTACAGCCCTCAACACTTGCCTTTTAGTAGGGATCATGTCGGCCTCTATAATTTCCTGAATTTCAGGATTCATATTAGTTGAGAATGAGAACTCATCACTTTGTGGCCTCCACAGCATACCCAACACCAATTCTTCGACTGTAGTTCCTTCCAACTTCATACTTAGGTCGGTAAGGTTTGGTTTAGAATTGTTTTGGAAAGTTTGCATTACCTTGACAGAGTTAGAAACAAAATTGCGGATTTCGAATCCCGCTGCCTTGTGAATGGCCCGCACGTCTTCAATCAGCTGTATTGCTTCCTCCTCTGTATCTACACTATCCAACATATCGTCTACATAATGGCTCTTCAATATAGCTTCAACCGCTCTAGGGTACTGACCGGTAAATTCCTCAGCGTTCCGAATCTTAATGAACTGCGCCGTTGAAGGAGAGCAGCCAGCACCAAAGGTGACTACGTCTATAACGAAAACCTCCGGTGGTTGAGAAGGGTCCTTTCGATATATGAACAACTGTGATTGTTTATCCATCAGGCACATTTTAAGCTACAAGAACATTTCCCGTATGTCACCTGAAACCGCAATTTTTCGCTGGCGAAATCGTAGTAAGACCGTTGGTAGTGGAATTAGGAAATCAGGGCCTTTCAGCAATTGACTGTTAAGCGACACACCGTCGACTTCAGCTGCGGCGTCCCATACAAGCCGGATTTTCGACTTTTTTGGATGTTTTACTACTCCGAGAGGCAGGAACCAGATTCTCCTCGGATCAAAGGACTCCAACTCCTCTTGGGTTGCCCTATGAATGTACCCTTTCTGTTCATAGTCTTCAATTTGTTGCTCGACTTTCTTTGCCAGCTGTGAATCCCTTTCGAACCTTTTTTCGAGACATTTCATCCGCTTGAACGCCATCGCATAACAGTCGGGGAATTCCACATGATCGTGTTTCCAGATCAGTCCAGTCTCAAATCCTGTTGCTGTCCTTTTCGTTGTTCGCTCCAAGATTTTCATTGCTCGTTTTTCATCCTCACCTAAGGGTTGCTCCGTCATCCAAGGATTCTCAAGGGTTAACTGCGCCTTCACCATCTGATGGAGCTCCTCATCGTCGTGGTTTCTGGAACACTCGCAGACGTGAAAACAGTTTGTGTTTAACTCTTTTTCCAAGCTCGTAGCTGATGTACGTCCATATATGGTCCATCCTATTCTAGTTTTAACAGCGACTGGTTCATTGCACCTCCCTTCTCTTTTCTTAAGGGGCGAATGAACACGTAGGTTGTCAATTCCAATAAGAAGTCTGGGCTTCGCTAATTAGGTTTTGCACCGTCGGGGTTAACCTCAATCTGATGACAGTTTAGTGGTACTGTTTACGTGGACTTAGTCGATTTTTTCTTGGGTGGATTTTCTCGATAACTTTTCAGACTGCAGTGAGATGTAAACCACATTTCTGCAATGTTCACGAGCAAAATCCTTGCAACGCGCTGTTCCTCGACAATTTCAGTTGAGTGGTACTGTTTACAAGCACTTAGTCGTTTTTTCGAAAAAAAAAATTCTAAAATTTCCGAATTTTAACTTGAAAATTGTCGAGGAACAGCGCGGTGAAAAGATGTTGCTCGTGGACAATGCAGAAGTGTGGTTTACATCTCACTGCAGTCTGAAAAATTATCGAGAAAATCTACCCAAGAAAAAAAACGACTAAGTCCACGTAAACAGTACCACTGAACTGTCATCAGATTGAGGTTAACCCCGACGGTGCAAAACCTAATTGGTAACTTCCCATGGGTAGTCGACGAAGGTGCACAAAACTACTAGCAAGTTGTTCGTAATCCAAAGTTTGAGTTAGCAACTCAGGGTTCGCAACAGTACGGACATCAGAAAGCTTATACTTCTTGCTCGACGAGATGCCAGAAATTGTCAATTGGATTCTCCGTGAATTACTTTCCATCCTCGTCACGTCACCAGTCCAACGCAGGCATAAAGGTTCCGTCTCACCATCGATTCCCAGCTGGGTAGCTAATTCGTCTTCGATTAACGTTGAGGATGAACCATCGTCAAGAAACGCGTAGGTGTCGATTTTCCCGCATTTACCGTAAAGACGAACTGGAATGATACGGAATAAAATAGTTGGCATCGCAATATGCAGGCCAATCATAGTAGATCCGACATCAACGGGCGCACTGTCAGTAGCGTTCGTCGTGTTATTAGGTAGCGAATGCAACAGCGTATGATGCTTATACCTGCACCCGGCTACTTCGCATCCTTTCCAGTTTTTACAGGGCCATCTTCCATGTTTGTTCAAACAACTACGGCAAAGTCCTTTCCGTTGAACAAGTTTCCATCGGTTTCGACTGTCATTTTCCCAAATTCTTCACAATCAGCGATGCGATGGTTTGGCACGTCGCAGCAGAAACATTCCATAGATTTACTCTTGTACTGGTTCCGTGGATTCCTTGCTTGATCATTCCCTCCGTGGGCTTCACTTCCTTCTTCTGACTCTTCTGCCTCCACTGCGTGAACGTTCAATTTCTCCTGCTTGACCTTTTCCTTCCCTTTGCCAACAAATTTTCCTGTGAATGACTCCGTGACCAACGTAACGTCTGCTGCTGCATCGACAATGACAGACATGAAATTTCCGAACGTTTCCAGATCGACATTTTGTAGGTTACGTTTATGACATGCCCAGTCAAGTTTAATGTTTGCTGGCAATCTATCCACTAGTTCCTGCAGCAGGCATGGATTAGACAGATGTGCCCGCTGTTCTGCTGCAACCAGGTGATCACAAAAGTTCGTTACGGTCATTCCAAAACATATTATTGATTCCAATTTATCTGCCTTTGGAGCCGGTGTGGACCGAATTCTAGCAAGTAACGAATTGATCACCACTTCCGGTCGGCCGAATAATTTTCTCAGCGTCTCTATCACCGATGGTACTGAAGAAGGAATCAACAATCGACTCCTGACGGCTTCCATGGCTGGACCCTTCAGCGACCGTTGTAAACGGACCATGTTCTCCACATCTGTATAACCACAAGCATTAGTGGTCACCGTGAAATTACTGATGAATAAAGGCCATTGCTCTGGATCTCCGGAAAAACATGGCAGTTCATCTTTCATTACATGCCTGGCAGCAATCTGCTCCTTGCTTGGACCCGTAAAGCGCTGATAAGGTTCTCTGAATGGATTCGTCGGATGACACGGAAGGTTTCCGACATACTTCGATGACGTCGGAATATCAACAGGAAAGCTGAACTGTGACGGCTGGTGATGAGAGCGTGACGTGTGTTGCGTTGACATCGTTCGAACGGAACAAGAATCCTCTTCCTTAACTTCATCACCGATAGGCAGGCCAATCCGGTTTGTCATTCGTAGACCCATTCCCAACGTGGCAACCTGCTTTTGGCTTTTGACCCACTTTTGAACCTCCTTCTGGTGTGAAGCTTCATTGATTACGCTCGCTGAACTTTGTACCGTATGCATGCCCCCGCTTAAAGCTAGCAGCTCCATCTTCTTGTTGATGAACTGTTCCTCTTCTTCCAGTCGCTTAAGTTTGAAGGCCTCTTCTTGATCAACAAGCTTCCGCTGACGTTCCTGTTCTGCGTCTATCTTCCGGAGGCGGATTGTTTTAATTTCTTCGAGAAGCTTCAGCTGCTCCGCCGTCTCATGATTAGTCGTATGCGAACTGATACTCTTGAAATCTGATTTGGTAGCAGAATCCACCCTTTGGCATTCCTGGCAGTGAAAACTACGTTCTTCGTTTTCTATCGATTGGTTCACCCCAGCACAGCTGAAATGGAACCAGTAACCACAGTCCTCGCATTGCACCATATTGTCGGCAGAATTTGCTCTGTCACATAGTGGACAATCGTATGCCATGTTGAATTCACGTATCCTGAGATTATCGTTTTCCTTAAAGAAATGTTGCGGAGAAAGTAGTAATAAGCAATACCGTCCTTCAGTTTAGCTCTCTTGAAACTTTAAGGCTGCAATTTATTTAGAATATAAAAATTATGCTTCGAGCAGGGTTTGATGGTTACTCACAAAACGGTTTTCTTCTTCAGCGATAACCTAACCTTCTTTCCCCTACAACAACCCGTGTATTCGAACGCGGGTAACTTGTCCTAGCGAAAACAAATTGAATTTAATTTATGTTAACGAATTTACCGTTTAATCTTACTTTTCTTTCACTTTCTGTGACTATTCTCGTTCTTTTACTCTAATTTTAACTTCTCCAAATAATTAACTTTCAATGAATCCATCACGTTTGTTTTTCCTTCTCTGAACTTCGTTTTTCCTTTCCTACTCTTCAAACTGTCACTTTATCGAACTAGCAGTGTTACCAGTTACACCTTCTCGTCGGCCGGTCGAGGGGCCTTCCCAATAAAGCCAATTGTCACCTCTTCCTCTTAGGTACAGCCTAAAACGTAGCCCACTAAAAGATAGCCCAACGAACGAAATTCGACTGTACTGATAAATGATTTTTACAAATCAGAAAAGCATGCACATAATCTAGCAACCCTGGCGCTGGTGGGTTAGTCGGTGGCGGCGATAACAAATCGATTCGTCCGCAACGCACACAACAGCACAATCACTCTCAACTCAAGCATATTTCGAGAGAGGGAGAGGGCAGGCACTCCAAATCCCTCTCGGTAAACATGAGAGTGGAAAACCATGCAGCATATGAGGAGAATCTTTTTCCGGAAGAGGCATGTAAAACAGCATAAACAGCATTAGTCTCTTATGCTGGTCGGCCAAATTCCAAGTTCCAGTCATTCGGCTCGGTTCGTACGGTTCGGTCGGTCGCCTTCTGCGGATACATAATTTTCCTGGTTCAGCTGAAACAATCTCAATCTGCTCTCCGTCGTCGCCTGCATGCTGCTCTGCTGAAAGAAAAACTGACAGAATACTAGCGCATAGTGTGCGGTGCGGAGTTTGTACGACAATATTGTTGATCACTGGTACGACCGTACGGCGCGTGGCCATTTCCGCATCTGCATTCCGCTGCGCGGTGGGAGTAATTATTATCTTGTCTGACCGCATTCGGAGCGGACCATTCTGTCCCAGCTAAACAGTGATGAGGTGCTGCGGGTGGAAAATAAGTGCCATTTTCTAGCGCAGAGATAACCGGCCGAAAATTGAGGTGACATTTTGTCATATCGGTAGCGCAGAGTGCTGTGAGGTGAAGGTGAAAACTCATCATCAAGAAAAATTCGATCCACCAAAAGGAAAAGCCGTCGCAAGGCGAAGAACAACATCAACAAGAAGAGTCGAACAGGCACCACAAAGTAGCAGTGTGTAGTGTTATTTTCCGCTTTGGCCCGTTGTCAAGAGTGTCGTGTGTTGTTCGTTCTTGCTCTCTTTCTCACCATCTGCCCCCTTCGATTTCGCGAGTTTGTGAGTGTGAGTCGGTGTGTGAATTGAACACAGTGTTATTGTTTTTGTCGTGTGTTGGTGGTAAACAACGGCCTTCTCCGGCTCTGTTAACCCCACTCCCGAATGTATGGTCGGTCGATTGATACTGTAAGTTTGAATTTTTGATGAATTACTCTGTTCCTTACGAACACGGATAAAGCAACACGTAGGGCGGTGTGAGCGGAAGAATAGTCGATTTCCAAGTTCCGTAATTCCGGATTGCTGAATAATTAACCATCGGAGCAAGGAATTCGATCGTTTTTTGCCGCCAGTCGTCACGCCGTATATTCTTAGAGGTCATCTAATCCCTCACCAGAGCAAGAACGCGAGCCGTGGGAGGAAAGCAACTCTGCGCGGTAAGTAGGTAGATGGATATAGCTTTTAAAAATAAATCTAGCTGGCAGGGTCGGGACCGATAAAAAATCTGCTGGCGCGCTAATGGTCGGTGAAACATTATTGCTCTCGGGTGCCACCACCACCGAATGCGACAGCGGGAAGGTGGTGGGAATTGCTGTAATCAGGTCGCCGTCGATTAGTCTGCAATAGCAATCTGTTTGTTGTTGTGCGGTTCGAACTGGGGGGGTTTTCCGCACAACATTGTATCGGAAATTTTCGTTTCAATGTGTCCACAGACAAACGCACCTGTCAGTCGGGTTTGATTTAATCGAATCACCAAAACGGTTAATTTGAATGATTTGGTTAGAACGGGAATTGCTCACATACACACAAGGGGCGAATGTAAGATTCTCTTGCTGTTATGAAGAAAGTGTGTATCGCTTAGATTTTTAGAATTTCCGTGAGATCGGCAAAGCAAAATTTACCACAACTGTCAAATTTTGCCAAGTCTTAGGAATATAATAGTTTACCGTTTATCGGTAATATTTTTGTGTGAATCGTGGCAGTTTTTATTTTTTTATGGCTTTTATTTGTAATTATGATCGATATTTTGAAGAGAAATAAAAGAAGTAGGATACAATTTTACAACATATTTATTTTCCAAGTTGCTGGTTGGCTACCATTTTCACTTTCCATGCGCTCCTGACAAACACTCTGTTTGATTCGGACAGTTATTTTACATATTCTATGCAAAACAAAAGTTTGGAATGTGTCCTTCTTCGTTTTGACAGATATTTTAAGTATTTTTCGCAAAATATGAATACCGTAAATTTCGGTCAATTATTTTGCTGATTTCGGCAGTTTGAGATTTTCCAATTAGATCAGTTATTACTATTGACGTAGCTTGGTAAGTTATTGTTTTTACCGAAATTTTGCTAAAACGAGATCCAAATTTCGGTGAATTATAAGTTCAACGAAACTTTTGCGATGGCTACACATTGAGTTTTTGTTATTTATACTCTAAGATGCACATACCTTAAAGTCGGTAAAGAATACCTAGATATAGGTAAAAATTACCAAAAATCTAAGAAAATGCACATAACTAAATTATCGATAATCATGGATTACCAATAATTAACGTTGAAAATTACCTAATTTTTAGTAAAATATAGCCTAAATAGTAAAAAGTAACGATTTTTATCGATAAAACTTACCGATATTTTTATTACCGATAATTTTAGATAATCGTAGCTAAGAGTGTATGGGTGGGTGCTTTCTTCTCTTCTCCGCTGCTTTACGCTTACGCTGGGTTAAAGCAGACCCCCTTCACTATTTGGAATTTATTGAGACAGATAACAGCGCCAAATGATTTGTGAAGAGACAACGTTGAACTGCAGCGTTGGAAGAAAACACGCACACCAACATCTACGCATATACGAACCCACACAAATGAGCGGTCGGTACAGCGCAAATCAAAACACGAAGCGCTGTCATCACTCATCGTCATCACTCAGCTTCGACTACTTCCTTTTGCCTTTTCTTTCACCGGCGTTGAAAAATACTTCCTACGTTATAAAATAGGAAAGTAATGATTATTCCAACGTAATTTTTGAATAAAATGCGTGCTGCGTTGGCCAAAGAAGACGGCATATTTTATTACGTTTGGCAACGATTTCAATACGTTGCATTTCCAGTGGCTTATTTTTTTGAAAGAGGGAATGTTTTTCCCATGTTTACTTCTATGCTTATTAAGATTATTTTGAGCAACAGCTCCGCAAATCATCAATTACTATTACAAATTTGCATCTTACTGATACCGGTGGTATATTGAAAACTCTTTCGCTCGAAAGCAAAACATATTACAAGCACATCATGATGCGCAATTGTTTTCTCAAGTGTTTCTGTTGCGTATAAAGTGATAATGATTGAAAATCGGAGCAAGAATCTTGCTACCGCAGTATAATGATGATGACATCTTCTTCCCTCGGCTGATCATCAACGTTCGCGTTGACATCTGTCATGCTGACCCCTGTCAGTTATTGAGCCCTGGTGGTGAAGTTGGCGGGGAACTCCCAACAGTTTCAATGTGCACTCAATAGATGACACTGTGATCACATAAGTGTGATAATTATATGCCTTGTATGAGGAATTGATTAGTAGGATATCTTGTTAATTAGATATCTTTGGTTTAAGGCTAGCTTTGTGTTTGCTTGATTCTGACTTAGTGGATTTCAGAAAATCAGTAGATTGCGCGCATTGAGTGATCAGATGATAGCTCTGATCATGATGACAAGATAGTATGTAAAACAGTGTTTATTTGCTCACTAGCGCCATCACGTGACACAATTGTGAACCAAAGTGAATATCTTAGCCAAAAACAGAATCGGGATCATAAGAACCAGATTTCGCGGAATTTAAAACGAACTTTACCAAAGACGTGAACCACCTATCTTGTATCAATATCAAAATATTAACAGTAGAAGCGAAGACAATATATTAAAAATACTGGCAACTTTGCCTGAATCCGAGCGACACACGGAGTTGAAAAATTACCCAGAATTGAGTACTTTTCCCTCAATTATGGTGTTCAACCCAATAACCCAAATTTGAGTAAATAGCATATAGTAGTTTTTCATTTCATTTAAGTTTTCATCTTAAGTATATTGTACCCAAAATTAAGTTTAATTCACGTAAATTTGAGACTATTCAATTTACTCGAAAGTAACTTATAACTTGAGTCGAATCCCGCGTTCCTTTTTTGACAACAATAAAGAGTGCAAGTGATATGCTAAACTCAATATTAAGTAAAAAGAACTCAAATTTTAAGGTAGTATTTTTTCTCTGTGCAGGCACAGTAGCGCTGTGCTCGAGCGAAGGTGGAAGCAACGCATAGAAAAATGAGCAAATACACAAACCTTTCTTCTGAGGATGGAACCTTTGCTATTCATTCGGAGCATTTACCTTTGAGCAGCAGATGACGCGATTGTGCCTGTCTCATGCCGGTCGTTTGAGAAAATGGAAGAGTTGCCTGTCTTCTTGATATGTTGTCTTCGGTAGAAGTACAATTAATTCTGTTTTTTCGCGACTTTTTTATTTTTATTTTACCTCATGTAGAATGGTTACAGAAATTTTAATATGATGAATGTCGGCTTCGGCAACCAGTGACTGTTTTAAAAACACTTTGCTGCATGTATCCACATGATTCCTTAGTCTTAGTCTTAGTCTTAGCTTCAATCTGATTTCAGTTTTACGACTGAGCAAAATCCCGTTATGCCATATGTTTCTTTAACTGAAATACATATGTGCACTACAAAATGGGGCTGATCGAGTTGCCGACAATAGAACAGCTGGTTAACACGCAGTTCAAACGAAAAAGTTTCCGAAGAAAAAGAGGCTGCCGACAAAAGTCACACTTAGCTGAGAAATTTGGAGCGTTGTAAAAACGTTTTCAAACAATTTTGGACAATTCCGTCGGTTTGAATGGAGCGGATAAATGTATACAAAGAAACACGTCGTATGTGTGCCTGACGTTGTGAAAATGCTAATAGAAGCGTGGACACTGCTAAGATTGACGAGAATACGTAAATTCCCCAATAACCATTACTTTTTTTCCAACAACTTTGTCTCAGACGTCATTTTAAAGAGAAGTGAATTTCAAAGACGCCATTTTGAAAGAAAAAAAAACAAGATCCAAAATGGCTGAATTTTTGCAACAATGTGAATGCAAAGTTTCGTGCAAATCGGAGAAGGTCAAGTTAAAATAATTTATTGTTTTGCTATTTGGCCTGGAACTGCTCGCCCTTGTCGACCCGACACGAATGACCATAGAAGTTACATTTCTGTTCAAAGCACACTTCTGACATCTGTCTTTGTGCTCGCAGAAAACGTTTGGCTAAGCCACGAGCACGTGTGCAGAATTTATCAGCTGGTTCGTGTCTGTTCTATTCTGGACAAAATATTTTTGTCTAGATAAAGAATCCTACACGGTAAGAAAATAGTGCCCAAAAGTAAGTTCTTTTCACTCATCTCGGCACTATAGTGCAGGAACCCAAAAGTAGGTAAAGCGGGTCAAAGTAGTATTTATTTACTTGTGTGTAATTCCTATGGAATTTTCCGCTCGCTTACTACCCTAAAGTAAGTTAGTTGTACCCAAAACTAGGTAAATATGATTATACTCAACGTTGGGTTCCCACACTTTACTACCCCTGTTGGGTGGTTTTGCTCCTCCGTTTTTGACAACATTAGAAAGAGAAAAGGGGACAAACTAGTCAAAAGTAGGTAAATTTGAACTGGCCGTTGGGTACTTTTTTCTTACCGTGTATGATTTTGACACATCGGTTCGCTGCACATTTTTATCGGTCGTTATAAATTTTCGACCAAAGGTTAAGTTCAAGCAAAAATCAATACGAAACTAACGATTTTAAATTGGCTCACTACTTGACTAGCCTACGATTAACGTACCCCATTCTAGTCGAAATTCTAGTACCACACTATGTTTGTTTTGATTTGCTATGAAAGTTTGACAGATAGAATGGGGGGTTCGTAGATTTTTCTATGTTTCGAGGGGTGAATCGGTTAGGTTGGGACCGAAGAGAGTACCAGAGCTGAGCCAAAAAGTTGAGTTGCCTCTATGATTCAAGTGTCATGTCGGTTTGTCGGTGGCTGTCTTGTCTTAGCATTACACCGGTGCTACACCATATATGGGTCATTCCAGCCGAGATTCTAGCTCAAGTGGGTACACCAGCTGTGGTCAAATGTCACCGATTTGAGCCAAACATGGCCAAAACTCTTATTTTGGCATTCTGAACAAACACCTTTTTTATTTTGCTCTGAAGTGCATGCCTGGATTCCTCTCGGTACAACCCTGGATTTTCGAGATTAAAATAAAACTAATCTTTCAGAATAGATTACTCCACAACCAAATAAGCTATTCGTCATCTTAGAACGACAATTTGAAGGTTTTTTAATGTAGAAAAAAAAATTGATTTTCCACCAGAAAAGGTTAAAACTATCAGTCACT